ATAATATTATAATGTATAAATTCACTCTAATGGTGGAATTAGGAATTTACGAAACGTTAGTTATAAAAGAAAATTTCTCCGCAACTCTATATTCCTTATGTTTAAGAGGTTGTAAGTGGTATACATCAGACGTTGTTATTACGGTGTTTTAGAGGTTAAAGTGGGAGCTAAAATACCTCAAGTTTCTTACATCATGACAAAAAGACGAAATTACATATACTGGAAAATTTATTTAAGTGGCAGCATTATTCAAGGGAATTTATTCATACATGTTGAATATGTTTCGTGAATTCTATTTGCAGTTATTACAGATCTCCGAAACACTTAATTCTGATTGCTTCACATAATACTTGAGATTTTACGACTTCATCTCATAAGAAACACAATTGGGTATCTCAGCGAATTTCAAAACTTTAGAAGCGAAACATAGGAATAGAATCAACACAAACCGGAAGATATAATTTGGACGAAAGTATTGATTTTGTTTTCATACATTAGAGGCGTATGAGCTGGGAGAGGTGATAAGGCTTCGTAAGATGTGGTTAATTTGCAATGTGGCAATGGTATTCTCAGAAATTCGATAGTTTTGTTGGAGCGAGTTATTTTCTTTTTAATTTTCAGCGGGGGTAGTATAGTATTCTCTCTCTCTCTCTCTCTCTCTCTCTCTCTCTCTCTCTCTCTCTCTCTCTCTCTCTCTCTCTCTCAAATTTCAGGAGGTAATATTACATTCTTATTTCATGATGAATATGAATTAAAAGCAAGGGTTTGTTCTGAAGGCAATAATAAGACGCACTGATCCAGAAGTGTGATATTCCAACGTGATAGAAATTATATCCTGTACCTCTGATTAGTGTGGATATCAGACGTTGTAACATGATGATGCATAATGAACTTGAGTAACGTTTGTGTTTTATTACCGTCTTTGTAACTGTAATGGTTTTTGTACCTGTACCGACCTTTAATTAGTAAATAAAAACAAATTATCCACTTTGTATAAATGTTTCTGATCATATTTGACCTTTTTTTTTGTCATCTGTATATGGTCGTCAAGCTCGACTGTTGAGTACCAGTAAAGAGGGAAAGAGTTTTGAACCAGTACTTGCAACCTGTACTGATGTCTTTAAAGAGTTTGAAATGCTTATACCTATATCTGTACTAATGATCCTGACTCATTACCTGTACATACTTATAGATATACCTGTATGTACTTATAGAAATACCTGGATTTTTTTTTAATTTAATATAATAATAGTAAAATAAACTAATACTCTGTTTCAATTTCGACCCAAAGTTTTCCAGAGACATCAGGTTCTAGTCCAGCTGATACGCTCCACTAAATTCTTGACTGTATGTTACAAGGTACACATAAAAGTTGATCTCCCCGGGAATATGATTTAGGGCGCCATTTGTTACCTATTGGTCAAAGACTCGCAGGAAAATATTGAGTTTCTGGGGAGGGATAACTGAATTTACTCTCCACCTCCACTTTATCCCGATATGAAATTTAAAGGGGAAAGTAAACTCAATCTTAGGGAGTTACTCTATTTAAAATTACACAGGGTTAGTATATTTTTAATCGAGAACCCTAAATTATTATTATATTCTTAAGACTTATAATAGACAGGAACTATAAACTCGATAGAAATAAAGTCTGATTATATTACTGAGAAAATAATTTGTTCTTAGCCAAATCAGTCTTTATTGCTACTGATTTTTAAGTTTCTGTTTATTACACGTCTTAGAGTATACAGTAGTAATAATTTAGGGTTCTCGATTAAAAAAATAAATTACTATTATGTACGTAGAGTTATCTTGATTTCCCGATGGTATAGTAAAGTCTTAGGACCAGTAAAGTCAGTCAGCATAGTGGTCCAAGTCTTTGTTGTATATTTCAGATTTTGGGTAATATGAGTAAACCTTTGCCCGTTGAGAGTGATGGCCGCAATCAGGTGTTATGAGAGAACTGAAGATTGTGGCGAGTGAGAGAAGGTTATTATATGGAGAGTAATAGGTTATCATTTGGTGAGTGAGAGAAGGTTATCATGTGGCGAGTATTAGGTTATGTAACGAGTGAGAGAAGGTTATTATGTGACGAGTGAGAGAAGGTTATCATGTGGCGAGTATTAGGTTATGTAACGAGTGAGAGAAGGTTATCATGTGACGAGTGAGAGAAGCTTATCATGTGGCGAGTAATAGGTTATCATGTGGCGAGTAATAGGTTATCATGTGACGAGTGAGAGAAGGTTATCATGTGGCGAGTGCGAGAAGGTTATCATGTGGTGAGTGCGAGAAGGTTACCATGTGACTAGTGAGAGAAGGTTATCATGTGGCAGGAAGGTTATCATTTGGCGAGTGAGAGGTTATCATGTGGCGAGTGAGAGAGGTTATCATGTGAGTGAGAGAAGGTTATCATGTGACGAGTGAGAGAAGGTTATCATGTGGTGAGTGAGAGAAGGTTATCAGAGTAATAGGTTATCATGTGGCGAGTGAGAGAAGGTTATCATGTGGCGAGTGAGAGAAGGTTATCATGTGGCGAGTGAGAGAAGGTTATCATGTGGCGAGTGAGAGAAGGTTATCATGTGACGAGTGAGAGAAGGTTATCATGTGACGAGTGAGAGAAGGTTATCATGTGACGAGTGAGAGAAGGTTATCATGTGGCGAGTGAGAGAAGGTTATCATGTGGCGAGTGAGAGAAGGTTATCATGTGACGAGTGAGAAAAGGTATATATATAATTTTGTCACAAGTAGAACTAAAATTACTTGCCATGTCCTAACTTTGTCAACAACAGTTATGATGTTTGTGGTAAGATAACGTGTGTGTGTGTGTGTGTAAAGTTCACACACACACACACGCGCACAAAACATGTCTATCATGTTATTTCAATTTTTCTCCAATATTAATGTAGAGAATTGTAAGTCTCTTATACTAGACTTTTACCAGATTATCTTTACAATCAAGTTATTTGTTTTTTATCATAATTTATAATACTGAAATATATAGTGTTTCTGTATGTATGTGTGTGTATACTGTATGTGAATTTGTTTAATATATCCAAGTATTCTCTTATAAAAATGTGTGAATGCTGAGCCTCTCCCCGCTGCTGCACCACTGAGGATAATAGAATTTCCGCAGATCTTTATTGATTTTCGGATTCCGACGACCAAACTCAATTTGTCTCTGAATTGAAACTATAATGCGATCTTTTTCACTGTATTTATTGCATTAATAGTTTTTATTTTATTGTGCCGTTAATTAGGAAATGATATAATACACGTTATGAGGAATGTGATATTTTAGTAATCCTCGTGTCAATTTTGTACTTGCTTAAAATGCATTTGCAAAGGTTTCGTTCTGTACTCGAGACAGTGAAGAAGGTTGGAGGCGCAAGGACTTGAGCTCTCATCTTTAGTCTTCAGGTTTTACTCTCTCTCTCTCTCGCTCTCGCATGTTCTAGTTTTATCCTCAACAGTCCGCGTTTTAAGCAGGTTTAATGAGAAAGGGTTGATGGGGGTAATGTGTATGAAAAAAGGTTACATATACCCTTGTTTAAGCTATTTGTATTAGAGAAAGAAGCATTATTTTCTGTTTTATATCTCATTTTTTTATTCACATTTATTTCACTTACAATCTGTAAAAAAAATATTGTTTAAGGTTTAGATACGTGATAAAGGTATTCTGATCATGTACAAGTAAAACAGTTGGTGATGAACATATGACATAATTCCTCACACGTCCTATGTATCGCTCGTGTAAACTTAGTCAATAAATATGGCTGAGTTTGCTGTGGAGAGTATAGCCAGGTTAGTTGAGAATGCCAGGGAGTGAATATAAGGTGAATATCCCTATGTCCTTAGTTCTTCCAATGTGAAAGTATTAGGAAAGGTTATATGCCAATTGAAGAGTCAAGTGTGTTTCTGCAATACCTTAGTCTGACTCCTGTTATTAAAAGGTGGATACTCTGGCACATAACTGGAGAAATAGTGAATTATGAAACAACTTCTGTCACCCTTAGTCCAGTTCCTGTGTCATTAGAGACCCTGAGACCAGGTTAGGAAGAGATGGATTGGCTTTAGATACGTATCCACAACGGTGTCTTGTTCCATATTGTATGTTGTAATGTGTTTATTATATGGCCTCTCTTCTACACGTGTCATACCTTCTCTATATAACCTGTAGATCTTTAGGGTGTTGAGTCACCACCAAGCATCATTGAATTAATTATCTCTGCTGCAAGACTGGAGGGACTCTATGCTTAATTATAGGGCCCAGGCTCAGCACCCCACCACCTCCCTTGCTGCTCTCAACGTCATATATATAAAAAAAAACCAGGGATTAGTTGAGGGTAGAAACACAACAGCAAGAAACATATCCCTAAGTTTAGGTCCTGTGTAATTGGAAGGGGAGTGGATTTACGGAGGATAAAAATTAAACGAGAAGATATATAACCTTTAGCTAGGCTGTACTCACGAGGGCTGAGGGCAGGAACAAAAAACAAAGCAGAATACATGTAACCAATTTATTTCACGTTATTGGTTGTGAAGGAACATTTAGGCAAAGAGGTAAACGGAACAAGCTATACGAGTATATATATATATATATATATATATATATATATATATATATATATATATATATATATATATATATATATATATATATATATATATATATATATATATATATATATATATATATATATACATACACCCGTTCTCCCCATTGACCCAATGTCCCTCCTTAGTGTAGTTCGTGTGTTGTGATAAGAATGGTGGTGTTTTCTTAAATATTGAGTTTGCAGTAATTAATGAATTTCTAGGTTTAAAGTGGATGTGAAATATCAAAATGCGCAACGAGTAGTTTAGCTGTTTGTGTTGTTTGCAGGGAAGGGCAAGGTGTAGACAGGGAATTATTTAAAGTTATAAATGGAACATGAAGCTTCATCCTTTAGTTCCCCCTTACACTCGCCTCGGTCTAAAAGGATAATTACAAAACAACGAGATACATAACCCTTAGTTTACTCAACGAACATTGTAACAGAGTTTGGTTACAAAACGATGGCGTGGAGACGGACATAACCGAGCCAGCTTGGGATGAGCCAGCTAACAAAACCCTGGAGTGTTCTCTTATCCTCCATGATCACGGCGACACACACCACACACTCCACCTGACACTTGACACACGAGAAGCGTCGCCTCATGTTCACAGGTGACCAGAAACTTCGCATAAGGGATATTATGCTCATAATATAGCTGCCTTGTTTTCTATATATAAACATTGCCTATCTGTTTTCAATCACAACACTAGAAGGGGCCACAAAACTTCTTGATTAACCGCCTCATTTTCAAGTAATATTTCATGACATCTTTGTTGTCAAACCTCACTGTTGTAGCGGACCTCGTGAATACTTGTTCTTTAACTTTTGTGGTAACACCTTTCCATCAACAACGCTTCTCTTTACTTGTGTGATTATATAGATGATGTTGGTATAGCTGCCTTGGCTTCTATATAAACGGATAGATATTTATTTCAATCACAACACCAATAATTTCATTGCTGTCGCCATCGATCGATCATCGTCCTCATGCTGGTAAAGGGCTAAGGTGCCTTTATGGTACAGCTTCCATGTTTCTGGTTGTATTTTTGGCAAATATCTATTTTCAACCATAACACAATAAAACACACACACATATATACCATTTACATCTTTTGTTGTCACGAAACAATGAATTCTGGCTCTAACTTCTCTAACAATAATAACTTTCAATCAAAACCGACCACTTCTCTATTGTTATATTCAGTTCAATTTGTTCCAGCCGAACAAGTTAACAAAATATTGACTCTTGTTGTGTAGTTTGTGTTCACAGTGATGGCTGGCATCTACAAAGCATTATCCACACGCATGCGGGACTGTCGTGTGCTGATTGGCCTTTGTCCGCTCTTAAAAAGCTACCACCCATTTCACCCGAAGACAAAAGTACTAGGGATTACTTTGAATGTATTGGATTAACCTGGATTTAAGATGGATATGTTTGGTTAGAAATTAGATGAAGATAATTTCTGGTATACTAAGGCTAAGTTTAGGATAGGTTGAGATATAGGTAAGGATTACGTTAAGTAAGGGATATAGGTTTAATCTCTGGTGACGTTGGATTAGTAAGGTATGATTACAAAGGATTCCATTGGACGTCATCATGTGTAAGACCAATCAACATATGACATACCCCCATGAACGTGGATTCTGCTAGGTCTAAGTTCCTCATTCTAAAGAGACATTGAAGGATGTCATCTCTCTCACTCACTTACTTCCTTATCTCACTTGTACCTCCTCCTCCTCCATCTATTCTTATTCATCATCATCATCATCTTCGTTTTTTTTTACTGTGGTTGTATTCGTTTAATTTTGTTTCATTTCACTTTTTTTTTTTCGTCGTCAGTCAATTGTTTTCTTTATCAGCTTTTTTGTCTTCCTTTTTTCATCATTCTGTACTTCTTTAAATGTTATTAATACATCCCTTTTCTTCGTTGTCTTTGCGTCTTTATCTTAACAATTGTATCACTATCTGCTCTTTTCTCATTCTTCTTTCCCATCATCATCATCACAATCATCATCATCGTCGACGTACTCCTCCTCCTCCTCCAGTGCTATAGATTTCCTTCATCTTCATCCTTATCATTCTTAATATCTTCGCCTCCCGCTGGTCATAGAAGAGACGTAACAGTGGCAGGTATGTCCAGACTCTACGTAATGGGTACATGGGATGGGTTATGTGGGATGGGTTGTGTGGGGTGGGTTGTGTGGGGTGGGTTGTGTGGGATGGGTTGTGTGGGGTGGGTTGTGTGGGATGGGGGGGTGTGGGATGGGGTGTGTGGGGGTGTCATTTGGTTGGGGAAGGGAGGGGGAGGTATGTAAGGTAACACATATTGTTTGCACATAGAAATACAGCCTCCAAAAAATACAGTAAATCAGAAATATTCTCTCAAAGACCCAGAAATTTGGCATTCTCCCTCTGGGTACTGTCATGAGCTTGTCACTTAACTGTCATGAGCGTAACATGAGCAGTCACTTGACGATGGTACGGTCATCAACAGGTTCACTTAACTGTTGGGAGTTTGTCTTATTGAGCTGTCGTTTAACTCTGATGCTGTCATGGACAGGTCTCTTATCTGTCATGAGCAGTACACTTAATTGTCACGAGTAGCCAATTAACTATTAAACTGTTATGAGCCGTTTACTAGACTCTGGGCATTCTCATGAACGATTCCATTGACTGCTATGGGTCATCACCTAACTCTGACACTGTTATGACCACATTACTTGGTCATAAACAGTCACTTGCCTGTCATGAGCAGTCACTTAAATTAGTTACTGCTCTGTTCAGAGAACTGGAGTCTGGGCATTGTCATATGTGCTGTCATAGACACTAACACTGTCATGGACAGTAACTTCATCTTTCACTGTCATGAGCAGTTACCCTACTCAGGCACTGTCATGAGTATGT